GTAAATGATCAATGACATCATTTCTCTCCATCTAGACACAGATCGTAAAAGTGGGACCAGTAGAATTTTGAATGTTTGATGGAGACCTTTTTGATAAGCACTTCGAAAATGATTTCTTTCCAGGAGATAATAGAATCAACAGCACGGAAAACACAGGAGAAAAGTGACGTCTTACGTGGAGGGGGCTGTTACTTAAAAGAAAGAGAGCCACGTTTGTGCAGAGTAGTGGAACAACCAAGATTAAGGAGGCCTGTTTTGGTATGGATAACACCAGAGAAATTCTGGTTAGCAGTTTTGATAATCATGCCATTACAATGGGTATCACCTGCTGGATATCAACTCGACGACAATACTTGGAAAGCTCAGTGAAAACAATTCGACAATAATTTGGGATCCATGCCAGAGAGCAGCAAAACAGAACAGGAGATGTAGAAGTGGTATCCATAGGGGTAGAAGGTTCACGCAAAACGTCAGAATATGAGGCTGTAGACACTGAGGCAGAAGTGTATGGAGTGACGAGTGCAGCAGTAGAAAGAGATTGTCTAGAAACAGAGGCAAAAAATAACATTGGCCTATGTAGGATGTGGGAAAGTAGATGGAGGAACAGGCAACGATACACAGTCAGAGTCCAAGAGATCGGCCCACGAGGCAGCATCACCCAACAATTTAGATATTCCGAGAATCATTTACAGGACGAAAATAAGGCTTAGGACATCTAGGCGACTGACACATCTGATCAGCCAAATCTGGGTAACCCAGAATACATATTACACATTAGGAGCTTCTGGTACAGTACCAACAAAGAACAACTAAATGATAAATAAGTAACTGTAGAAAAGGCCAGTAACTCACCAAAAACTGCAGGCAGGGCAAAGCACACAAGAAAAGTCTCTATATACACACAATCCATAAGCAATCCAAAAACTACGTACAATACATCATCATCATGTGGTGTCATTTCATTTCATCCAGAGGGGGAGCTGGCGAACCGTTAGAAGGTTAATAGTGGTGTTTTTAATCCTCATTACTCACACAGTTATCCAATATTTGTAGGGAAAATTCAAAAACACGTAAAACTGATGCTATCTATTTATTCTTGTGACATATGTACCCAAATAAGCTGTTTAAAATTTCAAAGAGAAATTCAATCTCTCATTCGAGTTATCATTTCTTACGGAGTTATATCAATTTCAAGGAATTCCAATCCTCATTACTAACGTCACAGAAGAAGTACCATTTCAACAGTTTTTTTTTTATATTTTGTAACATATCCTCAGATATTTCTTTCTTACTTACATCTTCTCTGTAATTCAGTTTTTTAATGATTTTTTTACTTCTGTTAAATTTTCTATTCTTTGTAATTTGCTCTTGTATGTGTTTTAAAATGAGTTCGTGTTACGAAAGTTACGAAAAATATTACACAACGCTACAAGTCAGACTAGTAGACAGTCTGAGAATTTTCAGTGAAAGAGAACAAAAATTGTGAAAAATATGATTAATCTACATTTAGCGCCATTTTAAAAGTTAAACGGCAGAAATACAGGAAAAGGGAAAGATGGTCACACTCGTTGTTGACCACGCTGTTAAGCTAAACCTACATAATGGGATATCTTTGCTGTGCTCACAGTGGGTATCGATCCCCGAATTTTCATCGTTTAAGTTTTCATGCTTATAGCTGGGTCATCGGAGATGTTCTTTAAAGTAAAATGAAGGTGAAACATGGAGATGAACTACTGAAGACAGGCATGAAGTATTATTATAAATAAATAGTAAGTATTAGAAATATTAGGGGTAAACATTGAGAGTTCACAGTACATGAAAAAATAAATAAAATAACAATTCTTTTGACAGAGAACACACCAATGATCGGCGATCACTGATTCCAATAAGTTACTTTACGTAGTTTACTTCTTTAAGATTCTTGGTACAGATAGGTAGTAAAGCATAGTTTTTATTGGACTTTAGTAATAGATAATCATGGGTGGGATACCTGCATAATAAAACACACATTTGATTATTTTGTCGGTTATAATGTTATGGCAAAATGCATTTACTACCAATAGTAAGTGAATGTATAAGGATACACATGCATTAGGAAGATGTATTTTTTATGACATTTGTTTAGGAGATATAACACTTATTGTTTTCGGTGTATTAAAATTCAATATTTCTGGTATTTGATATTCAACTAGTACGCTTCTTTATTGGTAGGATCCTTAGACAGTGAAAAACCAGTATGTGCTTTGGTTACCTACCGAATGAAGTGCGCAATATAATATCTTTTGATTACAAGTGATTACCAATAAATAAGGTCTAGTAGGTAGGGCACTCTACTCTCAATCTGCGGGTTGTAGATTCAAATCCCGTCACCGAACATGCTCACTCTTTTAGCCGTGGGGGCGTTATAATGTGACGGTCAATCCCACTTTACGTTGGTAAACGGTAATCCAAGAACTGGCGGTGAATGATGTTGATTAGCTGCCTTCATTCTAGTGACTCTAGTCTATTACCTTGCGAAAATCAACAACTAAATATACAAAACTAATAAATAAAATAGTACTGGTAGAGTGGTAAAGAGGGACAAGTGTATATTTCATGAGATGTAATGGGGAATTCTTAATACCGATCTTCAATATGGATAATTGCATGTGTTACAAATTTATGTTTTCATTAGTATAATATCACTTTGATACTAGTATGACTTACTAGCTAATTTTCAATTATGTGTACGAGCTATTGAGTTTTATATACACTCTGAAATGACCTCCGGTTGGACAGCGTTAAGTCTACAGACTTAACGCTAAAATATGGGGCTCGATTTCCGGCGGTGGACACTGTATATAGCCCAGTGTAACTTTGCTCTAAAAATAAACAATTAAATACTCAAATATTATATTATCTGAAGCGACTGTATATATATAAATTTGATTTGTTTGTATTCTGTGTGGATGAGCAAATAAAGAAAAACAAACACATGTGATTCAACACGAACACCTAGGACAGAATTCCGGACCTTGCCTCTACATATAATAATTTTTAGGAATTTTCTGAAGATGGCAGCAGATTAGCAGCTGAAATGTACAATTCAAGACTGCTTTATTTAAGTAGACTAAAACAAAATTCTTCTCTTTAATACACAAGAACTTGATTCTGAATCATCTTTCATAATTTTAATCCACTTGGTAACCTCTACGTGTAGCCATGGAATCAGTAGCACTTAGTAACCTCTATGTGTAGCCATGGAATCAGTAGCGCTTGGTAACCTCTACGTGTGGCCATGGAATCAGTAGCACTCGGCACTTAGTAACCTCTACGTGTAGCCATGGAATCAGTAGCACTCGGTAACCTCTATGTGTAGCCATAGAATCAGTAGCACTTGGTAACCTCTACGTGTAGCCATGGAATCAGTAGCACTCGGTAACCTCTACATGTAGCCATGGAATCAGTAGCACTTAGTAACCTCTATGTGTAGCCATGGAATCAGTAGCACTTGGTAACCTCTACTTGTAGCCATGGAATCAGTAGCACTTGGTAACCTCTAGGTGTAGCCATGGAATCAGTAGCACTTAGTAACCTCTACGTGTAGCCATGGAATCAGTAGCACTTGGTAACCTCTACTTATAGCCATGGAATCAGTAGTATTTAGAAACCTCTACATGTATCCATCCATCAAGTAATACTGCAATAGTAATAATTTTGGACACATCATGTGCAAAAGAAGATAATAGTTTTGTTCTTTTTTTTTAGGTATTATGCCAAATTACGATTTATATAATTTATATATATATATACATTATGTAATAAAAGCTCGTTTTTCAACATTGTGATGTAGTCATATATTTCCGATAAGCTTCTGTATCTAGTGGATATTTTAAAAATACAAAGCACTACGTTTCTTTATACAGTTAATTATTATATTAAAAAAAAACATGCATGATTCATGAATATTGATGTAATGTTAAAAATAAAATAAAATATTCTTATATCTAAACTTATTTATAGTAGTGTCTACCAAAATATGAAAATTTATGTTTTAGTTAGTTACCAACATCTAACTTAATTAGTAAATATAACAGTGTGAATAGTTAGAGGTATAAATATTTAGTATTCTGAATTTATCACCAGATGTAGAGTGAAATGTATGGGTGGATTCTTTTATCTGTAAGTATATGCTTGAAAACTTCTTATGGTGAGTGCAATGTTATTATGAAAAAGTGTCAAGCATTAGAAAATAAATAGAAGTGATTATAGCACTTGTTTAAAAACATTCGAAATGTTATGATTGAACGTGATAAATTTTACAACGATAGTGTTTTGCACTAGTTTACATCAATGTGCAGACGGCGGGGTAACTCTACACTATGGTACGGTATAGTGTAAACGTCTACACTCATATCCTGGTTCATGGTACACCTTGAGTGTTATTTGTGATATATTAGTATATGGTAGAAACTACGTTGTTGTCACTGGCGCAGTACAAGTTTTTGCGATACTGGAGTACGATACGATATGTGAGTCTATGTGTATGAGTATGACTCTGAGGGAGTATACTTTGTGAATAAAAAGGATATTTGTAAAACTAAAAGTAAAAGCATGAAAATACGATACCCATTATTCAATTTATTGGTCAGTCTACTTTTTGGTCATAGGTTTTGTTGTAAATACAGAAGCTATGTATCAATATTTGTATTAAGTAGTTTATTTGGACTATCACCACGTTTATTTTAGTTTTTTAATGCACAATCTTTCGGTTCAATTACCTAAGCCTTCTATAGGTGCGAGACGTTTAATAAACAACGGGATCTAACGGAACAATTTTTTTTTGTAATTGAACCGAAAGCTTGTGTATTAAAAAAACAGAAAACAAAAACATGGTGATAGTCCAAATAAACTACTTAATACAAATATGAGTACTCCATTAAAAGCCTGCAAAGTTACTTAATTATTAATATTTATATGTTTTAGTGTCTGTGTTGCAGCAGCTTGAATTGTGATATTACCTTATTAGACAAGTATATAGCTACAGTGTGAACTAGAGTAGAAAATAAAATTGAGGAAGAAACTTTCTTGTTCGGTTTTATTTACTGAAACACGGATTTATCCCATCAAATTACTATATCCTAAGATTCCTGATTTCTTAACATTGAGAAAAAGGCACAACTAACTAATGGACTCTGTTTATCTGGTCACTAATACAACAGCAAGAATGGATTAGTACCAGCTAGAGTTAGGCCTAGACCTACATCTAATGTTGAAGATTTTTGTGATGAGATTGAGAATTGCGGAAAATGCAATACCACTGTTAATGTAAGAGATGTGGCACTGAATTGTGAAACATGTGATCAATGATTACATTGTAAATGTATTATTATTTAAGGTTAGTAAGGAGTAATTTAAAGCTGTTGCCCTTATTCAAAGTTAAAGATGAGGTAAGATGATTTTTGTGAAACTTGTGGTGATAAAGTTCTAATCAGGTGTTAGAAAAATTAAAGATCTAGAAGTAAGATTGGATGATATTGAGGATAAAATTGAAGAAACTCTTGAGAATATAGCAGACGAGTATTTAAATGAACACTTTGAGAGAGAGAAGAGGAAAGTCAATATTATGATATTTGGTATTAAAGAAGCCTCAGATGTAAGAAATGATCAGACTAGACTGGGTTATTACTTAAATCAAATATGTGGCTTACATGAAGGTATATCTCCAGACTTTTAGATAAAAGCTGTTCCAATTGAGAAAATATTCAGAATAGATAAGAAAAAAAAAAGGGCAATTTCAATTTTAGGCCCAGATCCATCTGCTTAAAACATTTGGAACCAAAGATGAAACACCCAATTCTTAATGCTGCCAAACTTATCAAAAGTGAATTTAAGAAGAAGGTGTTTATTGTTCCTGATCTTCCTATGAAACAACATGAAATGTCAAAGAAATGAACTGAGAGACAGAAAATGCAAAGGTGAGACAAATATAGGGGGCAGAAATAATAAGGTGGTCAAAATTAAAACTGGTGTAAGTGCACAAAAGCCTTTGGATATCCAAAAAACTAATAAGTCCCAACTCTGCTATACTAGCTTGTAGTTCAGTTAAAGAAAGTAACATATAATGTTGGTACACCAATGCCGAAAGTCTATTAAATAAGATGAATAAATTAAAGATATGAATAACAAATGAAAAACCAGATATTATTGCAATTAATGAAGGCTGGCTGACTGATCATGTAGAGGATAGTCAACTGAACATAAATGGTTATACAATGATGATGAAAGATAGTACCGAATTAATGGGGGATTAGTTATATATATATATAAAACATAATATTAACTTTGAGCTAAACGATTACTTGAATAACCCCTTGTTTGATGAGTCTCTGTGGCTGATTTTAGTTTTAGATGGTAATAGAGTGGTCTTTTGTTTTAACTGCTGGAGCTGATAATGATAACTTACTCTTTGAGCAGTTAAACAAAGTGGTGTCTTTAAATTGTGAACACATATTTTAACATGCCAAATGTAGACTGGGACAATATTCAGGGTGTGGGCAATGCAAATTCCCTCTGAAATAAATTTGTTGAGTGCTTGGAAGATGGATATATGTATCAGCATATATGTGAATTTACAGAGCTTATGGAAGTAATATTCCCAGCCTGCTAGATTTAGTGATAATGAAAAACTATGTAGAAATATATAATCTAAATATTATTGACCTCATGGGAAAGAGTAACCATGCAATGACTTTTTTGTTTCCGAGTTGAGCAACAGTTGACCCCCTCCCCCAAGCATGAAAAACTAAATTATTACAAATGTAATGAAGATAATATAAAATTAATGCTAGATGTGGACTGGGATGCATTGCTTGTAGATAAAAATATAGAAGAAACATGGACTATTTTTAGTAATAAATACAGTAATTGTGTCAATGTATATGTACCAAAGTATGACAGCAATAATAAAGAAAAAATGAAACCCCTATGGTTTAATACAGAGGCTGCTAAAGCTGTCAGGGACAAGACTTGTGCTTGGCAAAGATTTAAACTTAGGAAATCTAGAAGAAATTATAAAGAATATGTAAAACAGAGAAATAAATAAGCAATAATTACAAGAGAATAAAATGTAAATTTGAAAAACCTTGTTAAAGGTATGAAGACTAATAAGAGATCTTTCTACAAATATGTAAACAGAAAGAAGAACATCAAAAAACCTATCAACAGGTTAGTTAACATTAATGGAGATCTGACACAGAATAGTGAGGAAACAGCATTGGTGCTTAATGAATATTTTGTATCTGTGTTTAAGAAAGAACTGTATGAGGATGTTTTAATTTTGAGTGATGCTGCATAGTCTTTGTATGGGACTGAAGAAAATAACCGAGTACATATGGTAAATGATGATAGTCGCAGCCGAAACGAAATTTTAGGTTTGGTCGTAAATGAAGGTGAGGTGTTTCAGTTGATGAAGCAGATAAATGAATTCAAAGCCATAGGACTTGATAATATTCATCCAAAAATACAGAAATTGGCAGCAGATCAACTAACAACACCCTTAATAATAATTTGTAACAAGTCCATAGAGTCAGCAAAACTAACATGTGAGAGAAGATCTGCTATTATGACTGTAATTCATAAGAAGGGAGACAAGAAACTTGAATCAAATTATAGACCAATTTCTCTCACTTCACAGGTGGTTGAATTATTGGAGAAAGTTATTAGAAAAAGGATAATGGACCAACTTGACGGTTAAATATAATTTCAGACTTGCAACGTGGTTTTGTACCAAAAAGATCATGTCTTATTAATCTAATTGAAATCTTGGAAGGCTGGACTTATAATGAGAGTGCACCATTTGATGTTATATTTCTTGACTTTAGCAAAGCATTTGATTCTGTCCCACGTATAAGATTACTACTTAAGTTAAAAGTTACAGGAAATATCTATAATTGGAGTGATGCATATCTCATTAATAGATTTCAATGTGTCTCAGTCAACAGAGAAAAGTCTGGGTGGAAGAAGGTTATTAGTGGTGTTCCCCAGGACCGATCTTGTTTGCTATATTCATTAATGATCTACCTAAAAAAAATATCAAATCATCATGTAAAATTTTTGCTGATGGTTCTAAAATATATATAAATCGTTAAGAACTAAAGATCAGGTTAAACAATTAAGGTCCAATCTCAAGATATTAACAAATTGGTCAAAGGAGTGGATGTTGAATTTTAATATTGAAAAGTGTAAGGTTATGCATTCGAGAATAAGTAATTCCAAGAAAGATTATTTCGTGAATCGGGTTAAGCTTACTGTTACAGATACTGAAAAAGATTTAGGGATATTACATTCTTCAGACATGAAAGTCCAGTGTCATATTTCAGAAGTTACTAGGAAGGCCAACCAAACTCTTGGAATCATAAGATCTTCCATTGAGTTTCTGGATTGTTAGACAGTTTTGATATTATATAAAATCTATGTAAGACCACATTTGGAGAATGCTGTACAAGCTTGGTCACCATACCTAAAAAAAAAAGATATTGATGTCTCAGAAAGAGTCGCACAACTGGTTCCTGAGCTAAAGGATAAAGCATATGAAAAGGGACTGAAGAGATTAAATCTAACTACACTGGAGGAGAGAATGCATAATAAAGACCTTTAAGATTATCAAGAGATTTGAAAATATAAATGCTGAAAAATTATTTATAATGAATCTAAGGGACCCAGCAAAAGTATACAAAAAACATTGTAAAAAGGAAATAAGAAGAAATCTCTATACACAAAGAGTTGTAAACAAATGAAATGAAATAGTCAATCATAATAGAGATATTCTGGTGGCAATGTTGATGAATGCTTTTAAGAACAAGTATGATAAATATTAAAGACTGTCAATCTCCAGCATCTAATTGTTAAAGAAAAGAAATAAGTATAAATAGTGATAAACTTTACATTGTTATTTGTGGAGAGGCAGGCAACAAGCACTAATAAGTGCACTCAAACTCACTTATTATTGTTACTGTACTGTGTTGTAGTTTTGTTACTTTTTTTTTGCACAATGTAATATTGTAGAAAAGAATTATAAATAATTTAGTAACTGAAAATTTTAAATGAGCTGAATTCCAGCATTTTTGTGATAAGCAATGATCTTTCTGCACCGGGAAAAACTTTTGTAAATAGGAATAACTAACAGAAGAATTAAGTGTCTGAATGAGAAATTAAAACTGTCTACTACACGACAATGTTTGATTTAGTTGAAGATCTGTATTCTTGAGAGTTTTTCAATAATATTTAATAATCTACTAAATTTCTGTTTTTGATGTTTCTATTGTAATATATTAACAGCCAGGAATTCCATCGTATGGTATGCATAATATTTTGATCATATTATATGCTATGAAGAGAGTCAAAGTTATATTTTTAGTATCTTGTTACTATCATTAAGTGCACTGAGTTGCAGTTATTTATATTTTGTTGTATATGTTAGTACAAGTCTGAACTTGATCAGTCACTGAAATTTTTGACAAAATCACACTTGGCATTTTCACATCACTGGATCGTGAGTTTACTAAAATTTTGGTGACTGACTGATTTTAGGATATAGTACTATAATATATGTATTTTTACCACTATGTAGTTGTTAATATTGTCTTATCAGTTAGTATTGAAGTTTTTTATGGTGTAGTGTCATCTTGTAATAGAGGCAGTAGTAGTGTATATCATCTGATTCTTTTAATATTTTCAATTTCTTTCTTAGAAGGTTACTTTTCTTTTTATTGTCTTGTTGTTTGTAAAACAGTCCATAAAGAAGAATTGTACCCAAAGTTTTGAGTTAAATAAGACACTTTTTTTTAAATTTTAAGTTCAAAGTTTATGGTGAAAATATGAAGAAAAAAACTTTAAAAGGTGTAAGATAATAGTAGGCCATTCTCCATTTCTGTATACCTAAGGAGCAAAAATTAATGCAACGTAACTATTGTCTTCCATATACCTACTTACCTATGAAATAGAATAAACTATTAACTATGTATCAGCACTTGAGTTGGGCATTAATTTAATCAATTGATTATCTATAAGCACCAGTTACATCGATCAGTGTTGCACAAAATGATAATTTGATTGAAAATTGCAATTAAATTGATTAACCTCCTGCAAATAATCAATTTATGTTTCTGATTATTACTGTTTTTGATTATTCTAATTGTCCATGTTGTTGAAATATTGCCATTATGACTTCTCATTATTATTTTTATCTAATTCATTGATTATTTTAATGAGTTATGACACTCGTGAATTAAGCTGAACAACTAATCAAAATTTTTACTATTTCCACTTATTTCAATTATCCAAGCCTCATGTGAGAATGGTGACTTAAATAAAAAGTTCTTCTGCTTAAGTGAGCTACAATTCTTTTAATTGACTGTAATAGGGTGCTATTGCAATGAAAGCTTTCTGTTTGTAGCTACATTAATATCACACGTTGCGTCAAATACTTGTATATACAAAACATGTATTTGTTTAAAAATTTTAAAAACAGGATTACTGTTCTATACAATGTATTTTTAAATTACATATACATTTTTTATTTCATTTGTATGTTTTCAATCAAATATAAAATAGTACTATCAAAGGATCAAACCTGTTTTTCTTTTTTTTGGTAATATGTTCTGGACATTCAAAGGACAAAAATCCACCTTTTGTTACAGCCTTAAATTATATGTTAATTTCTTAGAATTGTGTTAAAGGTATCTTCTGTTTGTAGAATTTTGTTTGAAGATAAATGTCTGAACTTTTAATAAGTTAATACACTCTTAGTTTATATATAGTAGAGACAACTGATATGGGTACTAAAAATGTTTATTTGAAAACAAGTAACAATGTTTCGACCTGCTTGGGTCATCAAGAGGGTTCTTAATCTGATAATGACCTAAGCAGTTTAAAACAGATCCTTTTTGTGTTTTTAAATAAAAGTTTTCAATGCCCACATCAGTTGTTTCTACTGTATATTTACTACAAGTGGTTCCTCAAACATCATAAACTATTAGTTTCATGAAAGGGTTAATGAAAATTTAGAAAATGAGTAACTAGGTTTACTTTCTCACTAGCTTATTCTGAAAACCACTTTCCAGTTATTTTTTTTCCCTTTTTGTTTAGGATTAATATAGGATATTTTTTTTAAAAGCATATGCAAATTCAGTATGAAAACTGTTGCCGGTCACCTGATGAAGAGAATGAGATTGTCACAGGCTGTAAAATCATTACAGCTCTTTCCAGGGAGATGTGTTTCGACGTTTAACAAGCATTTCAAGGTATTAAGTTGATTTTATAGAAACTGACATTCATTTGTGTATTTAAATGTTTTATTGTATATGTATCTTTCGATCTCTGAGATTGAATTTAAATTTTTTTAACAGTACCATATTTTTGGACAAGTGTGTGTGTAGGTTTGATCCAGTTTATATATACATAAAATTTATGGACAATAAGAGGCCTGTTGGTCCATCTGGCCATCCTGTCTACTAAACTAAATTAAAAAAATAAAACTCAAAGCCAGCCCTTGTTATTCAAATATTTATTGAGCCTTCCCTTAAACTCCTTTAAATTAACTGAATCAACCACATCTGAAGGCAACCCATTCCAAAGAGTAACTACTCTTTTAGAAAAATAAAACTGTCTTAGCTGACGATGACTCCTACTGTGCCAAAATATATATTTCTTTTCCTTTAGTCCTACCATTCTTACCATTAAATATGAAGAAAGATGATGCATCAACACTATCAGTTCCCCTAACACCTTAGTCAGATCCCCTTTTAACTCTTTAGGTTTAGTTAATTGTTATTATATGTACAGGTATACACATATTTGCCAACTGACATCATACAAATGCTACTTAGCTGTCCCAGATTCAGTTCATTAAAACCTCCAGCTGACCTAGCACATTATAACCTCAAGCAGACATCGTATACTTACTGCTTAGCTGTTCCAGACTGAGCACATTACAGCCTCCATCTGACATTACACATACTGCTTGGAAATACAATACCAGGTAAATCATTGATCTAAGCAAATATTAAGCTGGTTTACCAACTCAGATGGATCCAATGAATAGACAATCACTACTGGATGCCTCAGCATAAAAAAATCACGATAATAAAAAGTAACTATGACCAATATGTGAACTGGAGACTCTCAGTGTCACAGTAGCTTTCTATGGGTGATGCTCTGTCAGTTGAGCTAACAGATCTCAAGATCCAACCAAGTATCTTTTCACTACACTCCTTTTAAGGACCATAAATGTACATTACAGTTTCATTATGAAATATTTATCTTATATTCTGCATTATAAAATAATTATTTAAATTTTGTGTTTGAAGATTAAAGAAAAAGCTTGAGCTCTATCTCTTGTTCAGAAATTCTGAAACTCAGACAAAGGTTAGATTTTCCTTGAACTACTTTATGTAGCCATTCAGATACATCATTATCATTTTGTATATATGTATAATATTTATTTTTATATAGTGTAATGTGATAGGTTTTCTTCCTCTTTTTTTTTTTCCCCTCAAGATGCTGAAAGGTGAAGTGGACACAAAGAATCAACAGTATATAAAGGGTCTTGAACACTCAATGACTTTGAAACAACAGATTCAGTCTATACTCAGTAAAGTGAAGAGTGGTGGGGGTGAGAAAGCCATTCATCGACACACAATTGTGAATAAAAAAATTTTTGTTAGAGAGCGACTAAAAATGCTGTTTGATGAAGACTGCGAATTTCTGGAGATTGGTGCTTTAGCTGGTCTCAGAATGAATTATGGTGATGTGCCTGCAGCTGGTCTGGTACTTGGTAATTTACTTTCGTAACATTACATGTATCTATGAAAAAGTAAAGTGATTTCTGTAGGATTATTGTTAAAGATTACTTGTGTATTTAGTACATATACTTTTAAGTGTCTAGGTAAATAATTTATTAACGGGAAATTTTTATGTGCATTTTCCAGCAATTAAAATATTAATTTGACGTGCAACAAAATGACAGTCGACAGAAGAGTGGGTCTTAGAACTTTCTACAGTCAAACCTTATATATATTCGTTAAAATATTAGTTTGATTATGAATTGAACTTTTTAAAAATATCTGTGGCAAAGGAATAATGTTAGATAAGTTATTTATCTCATTTACCATAAATCTAATGCTAATTGTATGGCTTTTGCAATACCCGACTCTTCATGACAAAAAATGTAAGTTGAAATGCCACCATGTAAAACCATCTAGGAACCATGCTAAGTAATATAATTTCAGAATATCAAGTGCAGAAATGGAATATTCTGGTAAAAGACTTGATTTGTTTAATGAAAACATTGACAGTCTAATGTGTATAAGAGAACCTAGCAACAAATAACATTTAGCTGTATTATGAAATACAGCGTATAAGGAGCTTTATATTGTTCTTAGTGGTACCATGAATCAAAGATAAAGAAATTTTATAAAAATTATCAGCTACAGTGTCATAGAATCTAAAATGCGTATAACTTGTTAAAATTGGTGCGAGGGAAAAATAATTGTGTGGGTAATGTTTGATTGAGCCTATGCAGGTCTTGGCAAAATTGAGTTTCAGCAATTCTGGGCAGGAAAAAAGTGTTGTCATTTGCTCACCACTTTGTAAAAATGGTTTTGTGGCCAATTGTAAATGCAATGGAAGACTGATCTTTCATAGTTAACTCTTTTTCTTTTAGGGATACATCAAATACTTAGTATTTGCTACATATTTAAATAACTTGGAAGATTTGAAAGAGAGAATCGCACCACCTGTGCAAGTGGAAATCCTAAAAAATGTGAGTCTCAATTTGAGTGAAAAAAGTAACATTGCGTTGCGACCTATGAGTGTGCACATTTAGAACAGCTGTAACAGAAGGATTTGGAAAACTTCCCATTGATGGTGCATGACTTACATCTCTTTATGTACAGTACTCCAAATTTCAACTTTATAAAATCAATATATTTAACTTTAATAAACTGCATTACAAGAATTAATATTTATATGTATCCATATAGTATCATTTGGATAGTGATATTATCTTAATTTTTTGTAGGTATTGGAAAAATACATGGAAAATGGGGTATTGTTGCTGCAAATGATGGCACGGTAAAGGGAGGAGCTATGTTTCCTGTTACTGTTGCAAAAATGCTTCGAGCTCAACGACTAGCCCTTCAAAATTTCCTTCCTACTGTATACCTTGTAGACAGTGGTGGTGGATTTCTTACTCATCAGGTAATATTGTTACATTCGTTGTCTGCTTAATCCTTGTGTTAATGGATATTTCCTTTTGAAGAAGAAGACTGACAGTTAGCAAGAAGTTGTAAATAAAATAACTGAGAATAAAAGGCTTTGCAGATTGGACTTTTGTAAACTTGCTTTGCTTGCAAAGATCCACAAAAAAAAATATGTATATTTTTTAATAGATTTAATATTTTCAACAAATTAAAAAAAAGGTGATAAATTTACAGTTATTTTTATGTTAGTCTAAATATGAAATTAGATAACATTATTTCATATTTCTGGTTTACAACAAAATATTATAAATTTTCTTAATGTCTCTTAATAATTCTTTCATCTTGCAGGGATATTGAAACCAAAATAACCATGTTAATTTTATATTGGTACTTCAAAAATTTCAAAGGTTTTATTAACTAAGTGCAACTTGTCAAGCTGGAAAAACAAAGTTTAATAAAAAAATCACATCAGTTTTTAGTAAGATCGGTGTTTGTTAATAGTGTTAAGTGTAAGTAGCTTATTTTGCTGTAAGTTTTAAAATCGTTTACATGTAAACTGGCAGCATACAACATGGTAGAAACTGACTTATGATAACATAAAATTTCAAAAAACTACCGACCAGTAGCAGAAGTAAAAGTTAAGAGGTGTAGAGGTGAATGCATTCCATGCATATTTAATTGTATGTTTATAGATCTCCACTATTAAATTCTTTGAGATTACGTATGTTAATTATATTAAAATTTGTTGTTATGTAGTACTTTATGGGATGATATAGTTTTTCTGACACTGTTTTTGTTATGGCAACCGTAGACAATGATACATAGGAGTTTCAGACTATAGAACAGCGTATTGTTGAAATTTTGTCCATGTTGTAATTATGAAGATTTTGTGATTGATTAATTCTAGAAATATTTCATTCTTGTGCAAACTAGGCCGAGTTGTTTCCAGATCAGGATCATGGAGGTCGTGTATTCAGAAATGAAGCTGTTTTAGCATCCAGAGGCATTCCTCAGGCATGTATAAGTAATATAACTTTTTGTAATACATTGATACTTTTTTCTCATTAGATGATTTAAGGTACATAGAAAATGCATAATTGTATAACATATTTTAAGAATCCAAAGTTCAATCTTGTAAACTCATTTAATGTTATTTTCTAGTTCTTCAGCCTATGGAAAGTAATAAAGTTAAAACAAAAAAAACATTATTTACAATAGCCAAGTGGCTTACCTGTACAAGTAAGGCAGAAAGTAAAATTAAACATTAAAATTTAATGTTATTTTCTAGTTCTTCAGCCTATGGAAAGTAATAAAGTTAAAACAAAAAAAAATTATTTACAATAGCCAAGTGGCTTACCTGTACAAGTAAGGCAGAAAGTAAAATTAAACATTAAAATTTAATGTTATTTTCTAGTTCTTCAGCCTATGGAAAGTAATAAAGTTAAAACAAAAAAAAAACATTATTTACAATAGCCAAGTGGCTTACCTGTACAAGTAAGGCAGAAAGTAAAATTAAACATTAAAATTCTGAAAGTAGCACAAACTTCACTTGCTAGGCTTAAGTTTTCAGTAGGAAGACTTCAAGATTGTCTTTCATGATGCTTTGTCTGTTGTGGTTAATAACTTGCAGGTGTTTCTTGTACAAGACTGTTTTTTTCTTCAGTTACTCAACATGTGCAGCATGTGATTAATCTAGTTATTGTGATGTCAGAATATATCATTTTAGCTTGTGTGTTCATGAGGATACAATAACTTTCAGGTGTTTCTTGTGCAAGACTATGTTTCCTTCAGTTACTCAACATGTGCAACATGTGATTAATCTAGTTATTGTGATGTCAGAATATATCAGTTCAGCTTATGTGTTCATGAGGATACAATAACTTTCAGGTGTTTCTTGTGCAAGACTGTTTCCTTCAGTTACTCAACATGAGGAGAAACTTTACTCTTTCATTCTGTTCAGTTGGTTCCAGCTGGTTAAAGATACTGTTAATTATCATAGATCGTTTTTAAAAACAACCAAAAATAAGACATTACTGTTCTGGTAAATGTATGTGTTTTACATAATCTGTTGTGATTGTATTATACTCTTTTTTTTTTTCCAATCACACTTTCGTATTTAATTATTAAGTTTACTTCTTTGTAAATAATTTCTTCCTATTTGTTTTATTTGTTTTTTTTTTCATCACATTTTCATGTTAATTATTAAGTTTACTTCTTTGTAAATAATTTCTTCCTATTTGTTTTATTTATGTTTTTTTTTTCATCACACTTTCATGTTACGTTTACTTCTTGGTAAATAATTTCTTCCTATTTGTCTTATGTTTTTTTCCAATCACACTTTCGTGTTACGTTTACTTCTTGGTAAATAATTTCTTCCTATTTGTTTTATTTATCTTTTTTTGTATCAAACATAGTTTCACTAGTGTACGTTGTTTGAGCTACCTATACGTGTATGTTAATTCATGAGAGACTGAGAAATATAAACTTGGCCTGGTTAAAACTTTTTTCAAACTTCTTGAAAAATGCTGTATGTAAGAAGTTTTAAGATCTTTAAAAACCGTTTGCAGTATATGAATAAAATTGCAGTTTTTTTTTTTTAACGAAACTGTCATTCACCCAACACAAAATGCTCTAATCATGTGAGAAAGTTATCTAAAAATTATTGTTGGTTTAATGTGTATCATACACGTGTGTGTACAGAGGTATGCTGAACTAGAATGTTTGAAACTGTTGAAGGATTTTATTTTGTGTATTGGTATGCTTCTTCACTTCCTTGGGGCATGAAAAAAAAGTGTCGAACTGAAAAACGTAAATACATAAATGGTTTCACTTAAGTCTGTACAACGTTGCACAATTGAAAAAAGATTATTACTTTCATTTTCATTCTACTTAAGATCTCTGTTGTATGTGGTCCTTGCACTGCTGGAGGAGCATATTGTCCAACTATGACACAAGAGGCAATCATTGTGAAAGGAATCGGAACATTATACCTTGGAGGACCTCCTCTTGTGAAGGCTGCAATTCAGGAGGAAGTTACTGAAGAGGAACTTGGGGGTGCTGACCTCCATTGTAGGTGTGTTTGTGTGTATCAGACATGTTATTACAGGTTAAAAGCACCATCTATGTACTGACGTGAATTCATCGTAAAAATATACTACTGTTATTATATTTGCGTTTGGAGATGCCGTTTGTCAGCATCTTGTTTTTAAGAATCAAATGTTGTACAAGTTGCTAAAAGTAATGCTGTAACCTCGGAGTAATGGCTGGATCACATGCTCGCCCTTTCAGTCGTGGGGGTGTTATAATGTGACGGTAAATCCCACTATTAGTTATTGTGATGTCAGAATATATCGGTTCAGCTTATGTGTTCGTGAGGATACATAATTTTATTCTCCAAGTTCTATCCAAGCTGTTCAAACAAGGAAATTAGTTATGATCTATGCTGTCTCATTACTGTGACATTCACAAGAGTTATTTGTGTACAAGAAAAATGTAAATATAACATCTGAAAACCATTTCTGTGGTATAGGCTTTGAGAGCCTTCTATGTAAAACCATAAGCAAAAGTACCTGTCCCCAGTGATGGGAAAAGTTTAAGTTAATTTATAAAGTTAAATTGTTTCATGGACTTTGCAAAGGTTAATTGTGTTACACTGTTGGTTTTACTCAGAGCCAAAGCTCTAAGTTACTTATACCACTCACCGTGAAAAGTAATTGTTGAGCATTTCAGTCATGCTAAGAGCCGCTCAACAATAACGTACGGTAAAATCTACATTTTTATTCTTTAAGCTACGTCACATTTTGAAATGTGGATGATAGTGAGATTAATTCCTAACAATTCAGTGTAGAATATCCTGCTTGCGAAATAAAATTTGACATCAACATTATTCTTGCCTGTTCTCCCATCGTTTCAAAAGTGAATGTTGAGCTTTGTCTGCATGCACAGCTTTTCATAAAATGGGAGACAGATGAATGCTCAGACAGACACCATGTTTTGCAATGTACATAAAATTGTAAGGTTCTTCTTATTAAGTAATTATTTTATTTTCTAAAAATAAGGTAAGTCATTATCATAATTAGAGACAAAAATTAAAAAACTAGTTTAAGACTTTTCACACAGACAGTAAAGTTTTATATCAAAATTTTAAAATCAGTGTATTCACTTAATATAAATTTGCTTTAATTCAAAATGTAATACTTGAAATAAACTCGTGTAACAGTTACTTCCAAAATTTTAAGGTTGAGTGGTTGTCTTGACTATTATGCGGAGAATGAAGAAGAAGCCCTAAGTGTGTGTCGAGACATTTTTCTCACACTGAATATGGAAAACATTCAAACCGACAAGTCATATTCCCAACCAGTTTTTTCAGTTGAAGAGTTGCCAGGTCTTGCAGGACAGAAATCTATTGCCAAAGATGATTTGTACAAGGTAAGAAAACATTTGAGGATGTCAGTAGTGATGATGAAATATACGCGTTACTATGTGTACATGGGTGTTGTTATAGAAACCTCTCCAGTTTTCTACATTAGGCAGTATCAGAAAATATCTTATTATAGTGATCAGGCTAACTAATTCTGAACGTGTTCAAATTTTAATTGGTTATTAATGTTTCTTTGTATTATGGCCAGGTGGTTAGGGCACTCGACTCGCAATCTGTGGGTCGTGGGTTCGAATCCCCGGCACATCAAACATGCTCGCCCTTTCAGCCATGGGGGTGTTATAATATGACGGTCAATCCCAATATTCGTTGGTAAAAGAGTAGCCCAAGAGTTGGCAGTTGGTGGTGATGACTAGCTGCCTTCCCTCTAGTCTTACACTGCTAAATTAGGGACGGCTAGCGCAGATAGCCCTCGTGTAGCTTTGCGGGAAATTCATAACAAACGAAACCAAACCTTTGTATTATTTAACTTCACGGAAGAAAATTTTTATAGCACGCATATAGAGAATAGGTGCAACATACCTGTGCATATTTGTAACACACAAGGTCAGAATTCATTAGATAAGCAAGTAAAATAGTTTTATAAAACTTAAAAGTTTCTGTTTTGAAACGTAGTTGTATACAGATGTAGAATTGGCATACTTTTACTGCTCATGTACTGTACACCTTTCGTTGTACCACATTCCCAGTTTATATGTATATTTATATGTATGTGTCTTTAAACAAATGTAATTTTTTACAGCCATAACAACTTCATTCTGCTTTTCCATTAATCATTTATTATTTAATAAATGCCCTCAGTTTTAGGCATAATACTATAGTAACAAAATGGTATTTAAGTGTCATTGTATTTTAACAAGAGTTTTATGGAGTCTCTAAGTTAAGCCTTTAATTTCATAGCTAGAATGTTTTAAAAACTGGGGATGATTACTGAGAGTTAGTTGCATTCATTTTTATAGATAGAAAATCTTAGATTAGTAGAGATAAATAGATGAGGAAATAAGATTGTTAGTAAATGTCTTTAGTCATCTTATTAAAATGTGGTAATCAGTTTAGCTAATTATCAGGAACTTAGAATTCCTCTAACCTCTTTAATAGAACTTGTTGAGCAACATAATGAGAATTTAAGACTGATTTTTGATTAAATCTTATTTATTTTTATTTTATCAGATACTAGCTAGATTGTTAGATGGCAGCGTGTTTCAGGAATTCAAAGAACAATATGGCTCAAATTTAATTACTGGATTTGGCAACATTCACGGGTACGTCTCGATATTTTAAGCGATAACTATTTAAAGATTGATGCTCTCATCGATTAATGTATGAAAAACCTGCTACTAGCGGGAGTGTAAATATTTTAATATTATTTTCTGTTAGTTCCAAAAAATAATGGGTGATAATCATACTAGTATTCATTCACTTTTCCACTAATTTGACCCAGTTTTTGACTGTTGAAACTTTGCATCTTTATGCTAAATCTTGTCGTACACATCATGCTAGACAATACAAGACTAATGTGCCTTATATTGGGTGGAAAAGTTTTCTTTTCGTAACAGTTTTTACATAGATTTATGGTAAAATCCAGTACTTTGTCTCTCTCTCTCTAATACAGATGAAAATGGTATTCGTATAGTCAGAAATTCATTTTCATGATGTTTTATAATTTTGTTTTATTGAATATGTCATCATGTTTCTTCTTAAGTGAAAAACCATTGAAAAGTATGAACATGATTTCTGCTAGGTTTTTGGTTGGTATTCTTGCTAACTGTGGTCCAGTTAGTTCAGCAGATGCATTGAAAGGCTCACATTTCATACAGCTGTGCAATCACCGAGAAATTCCACTCGTTTTTCTTCAGAATTTTGCTAGTCAAGATTTTCCTGAAAGTGGCTTAGAAAAAGGTGAATTTTGTATGATTTTATCTTTACATTTAAACTTCTTGCAACTGTCTGGGTACATAGGACATTTAACTCTTTCTGTATGACTGGGTCAAAGTTTAATTAAAAGTTGTTATTATAGTATTTCAGTGTACATGGCATAATAATGTTTTTATACTTCAGATTTTTGTATAATATAAGTTTTACTTTCTTGGTTTGAAAAGGAAGTATTTAAAAAAAATATCTCAAGTCTTCTGTGTCACATGATTTACCTGCTCTGAATTCTCCATTATGATGCTAGATCTTCTCTAATGTAGTTTTCTGAGTGTCCGACCAATTAGAAACACAAACTATAGATAACTAGAGGCTTGAATTTAAAATCTGAACCTTGTATCTTCTTGCTTTGCTTAGATATCAGAAAAATGATCAAACTTACCTGAGAAGCCCCTCCCCCTCTTGTCTGTCTTTTTATACTCTTTGCTAATAATTCTTACAAGGTTGATGGACATGTTTATAACCAATATAAAGAGCTTTTACTCCTCTATAGTAATCTTGGAGAGCCATCATTTAGATTTTCAGTATAAACTGTTAGTTAGCAGAAGTATTTTATTTTGATGATTGTAATTATTTGCTCCCAGCACTTAGATTTTTGTAATCTATTTATGGCTTATTTAGGAAGCCAGATAAGTTATAGTAATTTTGGGATATTCTATTCTAGTGCTTGATGTATTTTTTGTATTCTAAAATGCATGAATTTTTATTTGAACAACTAAGTTAATGAAAAAAGTGAGGTCAAGCACAGTTACGCTTGCATTGTGTAAAGATCATGCTGGTCACACACACTGTGTGTGTGTGATGTTTGCAATAGATGGTTAATGGGCTCTTACTGTGATTTATTGCTTTTGATGGAGGATGGTAGTCCAAAGTACAGGCAATAAGACCATAAAATTAAAAGAGAACAGACAGGAAAAAATTAACAGTTGAAAAAACCTGAAATTCTTGCAAAACAATGCATTCAAAGAAGAAATAAAGGTATCGCTCATATTATTTCATATTTTTCAACTTTTCATTTCACAGTACATTGATGGTCTCACTGCAGTTAATGTTGAGGTAAATAACAGAAAATATAAAGTTTTACTGAAAATTTTTGATATTTATTTAGAAGATTCTAGAGGTTATAAAAATTCAATATAAAATCCATAAGATGAAAAGAAATATTTTTATCCTTAGCATGAAAATCACTTTTCCCTCATACTGAATCAATAAATATTTTGTAAGTTCATAGACAAATCTTTAATAGAAATACTTTATTTAAAAAAACCTTAAAAGTTAACTAAATTTCATAAAGATACACTGGATAAGTTAAAAGTTATAGTATGTATAGTTGCACACTTACAAGGTGGGTCAAATTGACCCACTTCATATAAAATGAATTAAGTCTTCCACCACCAGCTGAGTCTATAGTATTGTAAAATCTTTTACTTAAGACTCCAACAACGTTTGATTGCTTATTTGATCTGACTTGCTTATTGTGAAACAATTTTATTTGCCAAAGAAGGGATCCATGATGAGAAACAGATGAGTTATTGAGTGCCTAATTCTTTAAAGAACTTACAACAGTATTATATAAAGTTGTAGTTTAAATAATCTTTTTAATTTGGCTATTAGATATATGTGATATATTTTATGCAGTTCAACCGATGTATAAAGTTTTTTATAGAATTTCTGCTTCACTTGCAGATTTTTATGGCCTCTAAAAGATTTTGAGAAAAGAGAACAACTTGTTTTTTTATTTAAAAAAAAAACAAACTTTTATCACCCTCAGTGCTTCATCTTATGGCTTCTTAGGGAGGGTAATACCCTAAAGGAGGCATTTGTGCACAAGTTTCATATAAAGAAAGAGAAGAGAGAACAGCTATTTTTTCCACAGTCTTTTTTTTTTCCCGAGCCTCCTACTCTGATTGGAATTTTACTGAGTTTTGAGGTGGAATGTAAAGTTTTTCAGTGGTTTTAACAAAAGGATAGTGATGACAATTTATCACCATGTTTGATTATCACAGTATGCCGTACATTATTTGTAAAACAGTTATAACAGCTCTGTACAGTTCAATAATGTTTAATAGATTTTGTTATTTAAAAAAAAAAATGTATTAAACTTGGTTTCATAATTAGCACATCGTATACGACATCTTCTTTAAACTATAAGCTTATATATATGGAATTTTCGTTTAAAGCACTTACATTACTAATTCTTTCTTGCCTTGTTACATTGAAGATCACGTATATTTTGTCTTTGGTGCTTAATTAATTTGTATATATCATTATACATGTCTCTTTATAAGACAGTCAGCTTTTTCTGTAATGTCTCATACTGTTGCAGTTATGGAATCTTATACTTCAGTAACTTACCAGGAACTCTTAAACCATTAGTTTTTCATCAGATATAATGTTATCTTAATATTTTCTCTGATATTTTTTTCTGTGTGATTACTAATGAAGCATTTAATTGAAAATATTTCTTTTTCAATGGCTATTTATTTGTCTTGAGAACTTCTCATTGAACAGAATGAGTCGAAGCAGACTCACAGTAACATATTTCTTGTAGAAGCCTGAGTGTATGTTCGTCTATAGTAACTAATGCGTTAAACTGAATTTCTCTTGGAAACTAGTATTATTGGTTTAAAGGTACAAAATTCATTATCTAATTTGTTTTATTCTTGGGTCTAAAGTGGTCGGAATTCAAAGCACTGCCATTGCTCTTTACATTGTAAATATACTTGGGAATGTAGACCTTTTCTCAGATTTCACAGAATTGTGTCAGGTTAATTCTCTGAAGATTCTTTATGAGTTAAGTAGTGTTTAAAAAAGAATCTATTTAGATTATATAAAACAAATCTGTTACTGTTTTACATGTCAGTCTTTGCCCTTTATAAATTCTCATTGTATGTTTCTAATGAACATCTTCATTCAGACATTTTTACCTCTGGTGGTTGAAAATCTTTTGTACTTGGTTTTTCTGGGAAAGGAAGTTTGAAGGCCTTTATCCACAGGCCTTTGCAGCACTTTATCCACAGCAAATTGCCTCAGTTCTGTTTATAACTTTGTTTGTTTTTTTTGTGGGAGCTTTTTTTTTCCACTATATTTATAAATCTTTCTATATTTTTTGTTTATTTGTTGAATTATCTGATATTTTTGCCTAAAAACGAAAACGAAAAGTACGTATATCAATTAAAAGGCAAGGAACCAACAGCAATAGTTCTAAACAAAGATCATTGACCCTTTAGACATGCCTGTCGCTGTATGTGGTTTGAATTTCCTGCTAGAAATGTGAATCGAGAGCTCAAAATCAAAGAGAAAGAGTAATCTGTACAGATGATGCTCTTAGCTGCCGATTCATATCCAACATGGCGTACGTTGCAATTCGAAATATTGGTAATATTTGTAGTTGATAATTGTTTAATTTTTATTAGAAAATGGATCCAAAGTGGCATCAAATCGCTCCAGTGTTTTCATACTTGAGGAGAGAATTGAACTTGCGCAAACTGATGATGATTCTGGCTCTGAACCAGAATTATCTGTTGATGATTTTGAAAAACAAAATATGCACTTGAAGGGTTAAGATCTATGATTTATTTTATTCGTGTAAGAAACTTCTTTTGTCTCAGTGTCTCTTGAATAATAACCAGTGAGAGGACAAAATTACTGGACAGAGTACCCTTTACTGCACTCCGTGAAATATTTCTCAATAAATTAATCCTATTTGAAAGTCAAGAAGTATTCAGCTTATACAGTTTAAAACAGTTATGTTCACCAGAATTATGAAGTTATTAATGAATACACGAGTTTTTGTACTTACTACCCATTCTATTGGTGGAGGACACAAAAATCCGGCAACAGTTTATACTTGTATGGTGAGGATAATTCACCACATTCAAGGAGGTGCAACGTAAAACAGGACATGAAACTAACTAGTTTAGCTTTGGAACCAACAATTTGAAGGATTCAAAGCATAATTATTGTAAATCTCTTTACTTTAATCTTCAGTAAAGAATTAAACAAATGTTGTAATGAACCGTCAAAAACGTTTTTCGTTAATACAAACTTTTTCTTTTACCTTGGAAAAAAATAGATGTCTTTAAGCAGTATGTCTTCATGACAAGGTACCTGGATTGCCAAATCTCATTAGAAATTAAAAGTTTTATTTTCTGAGTTTTTTTTTTAAAGTAATGTATGAAATCATGACACTAGATATCCATCACTGGAACAATTTTACACTTATGTGCCAAATGTTAAAAGATGCATTATTGATAATTTTGAGCTGTGTTAAAGAAATTCCTGGGTTCTGGTTTATTTTTCTTGAAGCTTATATTAATCATTAAAAAAAATGTATGTATGTATGTCTTAGTATTTGTAGATGCGCTGATGTGGTGTTTCGTGACTAGGATTTACTAAGGAATTCTGTCAAACACTATAAATTGTGATTGTGCTCTTTGGACTTTCCTCCTTTCCAATGTAGGTTGTCACAAATATTTCATCCGGTGCATATCATCCTGAATCAATCTGTTTGGCTCCCTTTTCTGATCTCTACACCCAGTGTTGTTTTCTGTTTGTCGTATGTTTAGAGGTAAGAATGCTTTAATGTGTAATTAGCATTAAAATAAAATTCAGTCAGATGATAACTTAATATCATGTTCTTGCATGGAGGTTGTTTTTGTTGTTGATTCAAAACTTGTGACTTGACTAGAAATTATTAACCGTAATTAGGGGTGGATAGCAGCTGATGAGTAGAAATGTACAGGCCTCAGCTAATGTGCATCAGTTGGGTCAGAGTTCAAGGTCAGAAGTCATATTGGTATGATGTAGCACAGAGTGAAAGGAACTCTCAACTTTTTGGATTAAATGTAACCTACCAGGTAGCATACTGAGCAGGAACCAGACAGTTTTAGTTTAGAAGTCTACTAATACCTATTTCATATAAAAAAAAATTTTTTGTTTGCTTTCAAGTATTTTGGAGTTGTGTTACGTTTGTTATTCAGTCTATGTTAACATCAAGTAATACGATATTCAGAGGTTTACTTAAGTCTAGACGTTTATCATCACGTCACTAGTGAGGAGTAAACTGTAGTTCTTCAGTATTGTTTTTAATATTCATTTATTTGTAATCATTATTCATACAGGATTGGTACTTAAAGACAGAGCAAATATGATAGCTGCCCATGCATGTGCTACCGTTCCAAAAATTACAATCAATATGGGAGGCTCAGTGGGAGATCATGACTTTATAATGGTATGTAAAGTTGGAAATACAAAGATTGAAAATGTTTTTAATACTTTTTTACAAAAAAAAACAACTAATCGCACTCCAGAAAAAAAAAGATTTATTCAAATCCGGTGTTTTAGCTCATACCTTTCACAAGATCTCGTACAAATAAAAACTGATAACTGAAAGGAACACATACAACAGTTAAAAACTGACTTAACAATAGTAATGTCAGATGTTATCACATGCAAGTTAAAAGTTATAAGAATGACTAAGGGAGAGAAAATTGTGAGATATCTAACAAGCTGTCGATTAGTTCTTTTTTGTAAAAGTGGTTTCAGTCATCCAGTCTGCTCTGTAAAGTTTAAAAACTGATACATTTTTAATACTTTTTAAAGCTATTGAAATATTTTTATTTACAGAGGTATGTGGAATTTTTTAATACTTTTTTTTTCTATCTTCTGATATTGTGGCTTTCTCTACCACTAAATTTTAAACTATGTAATGTTTCCTATTGGGTGAATAGCTTTTTACAAGTAGTGCAGCAGTTAAATATAGGCATGATGGGTAATTCAAATAATTTTGAATCACAAAAGTTTATTATTTACATATATGTTAGATTACAGATACATCACACTTTATTACTTTTAATAATATGGAACAGATACTTACGAGACTACAGTCAATAAACTGGTAATAATATATTACTGAAGAAGATGCAGGTTTGCTATTCGTTGAAAAGTTTTACCATTTTGCCTACGACTGGGCAACTAACTTGATTAATGATTACTTACGAGCATCAATTACATTGATCTGTGTCACATAAAATAATCGATTAATCAAAATAATGATTACATTGGTTGAAGTCACGAAAATTATCAATTAATCGAAATTTGTTTTCTGATTATTTCAATTATTCAAATAATCAAAATATTGCCATTATTGTTTCTCATTAGTATTTTCAATTAATTCAAGGTTATGACGTTGTAACGTCGAAACATGTAGAGTCGTCAACTTTTTTGAAGGCCATAGATAGGCCTAAAT